TTTTCATGTTTACACTTTTCATGTTTATACTTCATGTTTATACTTTTCATGTTTATACTTTTCATGTTTATACTTTTCATGTTTATTGTTTTCATGTTTATACTTTTCATGTTTGCTTTCATGTTTATACTTTTCATGTTTACACTTTACATGTTTATACTTCATGTTTATTGTTTTCATGTTTGCTTTCATGTTTATACTTGTCATGTTTACACTTTTCATGTTTACACTTCATGTTTATTGTTTTCATGTTTACACTTTTCATGTTTACACTTTTCATGTTTATTGTTTTCATGTTTACACTTTTCATGCTTATTGTTTTCATGTTTATTCTTTTCATGTTTACATCTTTCATGTTTATTGTTTTCATGTTTGTTTTCATGTTTATTGTTATCATGTTTGTTTTCATGTTTATACTTTTCATGTTTATTCTTATCATGTTTGTTTTCATGTTTATACTTTTCAAGTTTACTGTTTTCATGTTTATACTTTTCATGTTTATACTTCATGTTTATACTTTTCATGTTTATACTTTTCATGTTTACACTTTTCATGTTTATACTTTTCATGTTTACACTTTTCATGTTTATACTTCATGTTCTTTTCATGTTTATACTTTTCAAGTTTATACTTTTCATGTTTATACTTCATGTTTTTTCTTTTCATGTTTACATCTTTCATGTTTATTGTTTTCATGTTTGCTTTCATGTTTATACTTAATGTTTATACTTCATGTTTATTGTTTTCATATTTATACTTCATGTTTATTGTTTTCATATGTATACTTCATGTTTATACTTCATGTTTATACTTCATGTTTATATTTCATGTTTATTGTGTTCATGTTTATACTTTGTTTATACTTTGTTTATACTTTTCATGCTTATTGTTTTCATGTTTGTACTTTTCATGCTTATTGTTTTCATGTTTGTTTTAATGTTTATTGTTTTCATGTTTGTTTTCATGTTTATACTTTTAATGTTTACACTTTTCTTGCTTATTGTTTTCATATTTTTCGTGTTTGTTTTCGTGTCTGCTTTCGTGTCTGCCTTCGTGTCTGCTTTCGTGTTTGCTGCTTTCGTGTTTATACTTTTCATATAAAACACTTTTTCTGTCTTCTCCAGAACAGAGCTCGTCTCTCTAGTCAGAAGTTCAGGAATTTCTGACGAAAAACGTGATGTCCAGAGTTCCCAACGGAGAGGAAAATACGGGGTTTTTTCCTCCCACTACTTACTGGTTCTGAGAAAAAAACGGAGGGATGAGATCCATTCTCGACCTGTTCATGTTCAGCAATTCGATCATGGGGAGACAATTCCACATGCTGACAAACAGCTGCTGGAGAACTTCACCAGAACGACTGGTTTTCACCTCCATAGATCTGAAGAGTGCATATTTTCACATTTCCATCATTCTGAAACAACCACGCACGTTCTCGAAATGCGTGGAGATGGCTCTGCAGTCGTTACA